GAATCCCCGTCTTTTTTCCAATGCGCGAGACGAAGCTGTGAGAGGTTAAGGAAGCGGCAGAACAGACAGGCGATATCTCCAGGCGGGGGTGATGATTTGTACGAGAAGCGCAGGATCGACGGGGTGGGAAAGAGCGAGCGTGGGGAGAGGACGAGCCGTCGGAAGGAAGTGGAGGAAAGGAGACCAGAGGATTAAGCAATCAGATAGTACGAAAATGTACCGTGCATACCTGATGTATGGGAAAGGCTAAGAAGAGTAGGAAGAGAATAGGCAGGCCGAACGTGGCGAGCTAAACGTAGCGAACCAAACGTGGCGAACCGAACATGCCGGGCCCAACGTGGCGGCCCAACGTGGCGGGCCCAACGTGGCGGGCCCAACGTGGCGGGCCCAACGTGGCGGGCCCAACGTGGAGGTCCCAACGTGGAGGTCCCAACGTGGAGGTCCCAACGTGGAGGTCCCAACGTGGAGGTCCCAACGTGGCGTTCTCTACGTGGCTTGCTCAACGTGGCGGGCACAATGTTGCATGCCGACCGTGGCGGGCCAACCGTGACGGGCTGGCCGTGACGGGCTGGCCGTGGCGGGGCCGGCTGAGGGGGGTGGAAAGTGCGGAGGGAATGTGGCGGACTGTAGTGGAATGTGGCGAGCTGAATGAGGCGAGAACACCTTTGGGAACAGAATGTGACCGAAAGATTCAGACGAGTAGAGCGAATATTGGAGGAGAAGGGGGGCAAGCGGGGCGAAGAGAACAGGCTGGGAGTGCGGGCGCGCGGGGAAGCGAACAACCTGAGAGACATGGCGGCGCACGAAATATGGTAGAGAGACTCTGTCGCGAGAGAACGAGAAGGAAAGGGCTGCGTCGGCGGCGGCGCTCTGAAAGATGTGCTGAGGGACGCAGAGAAATCTCTCCGAGGGGGGGTGGGATCTTCACGAGACTTTTTCAAGCGAGCCGCTCAAGGTACCGAGAGCCGGCATCAGTTACATCAGGCCACTGCAAGTCCTCGTACATTCTGACAATCTAGTGGTTTCAAAGGCAACCATAATTTATTATTCGTATATTTAAGAAAACAAGTCTTGAAAAAAAAAGTTTTTTGACTAGTAAAAGTGACTCTTTCAGGTTATGCATAGCGATCTAAATATTTATTTGGTAGTGCTAAAAGAGACGATGCGTAAGTGTTCAATTAAATCTGTCATTGCAACAAAATAAAACAAAATATTTTCATTTAAACGCATCAGCTGCTAGTGACCTTAAAGTAGCATGTGATTTATACCCTTGAATAAACATAAATGTAAGTAAGGTTCTCTAAAAAACAATGTGTGACACACGTAGTAAAACTGGCTTTATTTTGTTTACTGGTAGGATTTCCCTACTCGGCCTCTCAGTAACATTTCTTACTCGCAAAATGAAGTGTCACTGTCACTTTTAGCGCTCGTGTCATAAATAACAATTATCTTAAATACGGGAGAGGAAATTCCTTAATTTATGATATCGTATCTCATTAAAACATCACCTCTAATGGATTTCGTCGCGTGAGAGAAATCCAGAATTAAACAATAGTTTATTTGACAAGAAATTAACTCAATTAATCTTCCATTCAAAAGTTATTTTAAACTAAGCTCCTCCACAGTGCATATATATTTTCTCTTTTTACAACACAACTACTCTCTCTTATCTTTTATCTTCTTACAACACAATAATTAATGTCGCTGTTACTTTGATACGTCATAAATATTCAATAAATGAATAATAATTACACATTTGTTATCGTACTTTTTAATACATTTTACCACCCTCGCCTCGGTGCTACTGAGAAACAGAATTAAAATCAAGGTTGACGTCGAGAACGGCGCCCTTGGCATGGAACCCCCCTAGCGTCAGCGATAACAAACGTTTCGGGGAGGAATGTACTGCTGTCTGGAGAGGAAATGGGACAAACGGATAGCGTGGAAGGGGAGGTGAAGGAACGGAACGCAGAAGGATGAATGGAGAGGGAGGAGAGATAGTCGGCGTGCTAGAGGTGGGGCGGCAAAGAGGAAGATACAAAGGGGATAACTAGAGACAAGTGGAGGAACAAATGTGTGTGAGTAGGGAGTGAGTTCTGCGTATGGTGGAATTCGAGAGCGAGGGGCTGTGCTGGAGAGGCAAGCGGGTTAGCGCGACACGGAGAGAAAAGTGACTGGGGAGAGGAGTGGCGTTGGTGCTCGTTGTGAAGATGTTGGATGGAACAGGCTGGGAGTAGCTAAGCGAGATGGAAAATGGAGAGGTAATTATTAGTAGATGATGCGTTAGGACGAGGCGGGGAGAAGTTGGCAAAGCAGGGAGATAGTGATCGAAGCGGGGTGAATTGTGATCGAGGTGGGGTATATGTGGCCGAGGCCGTGCGATGGTGAATGGTGCAGTTGGTGACTGAGCCGGGAGATAGTGGGGCAGGCGGGGAGATAGGGAACAGGTGGGGAAATTTGTGGGTGAGGCGAGGATGTGGTTGGTGAGGTGGCGATGTGGTGGTGCGGGGTGGGGATGTGGTGGGCGAGGTTGCTATGTGGTGGGCGAGGCGGAGATGTGGTGGGCGGGGCGGGAATGTGGTGGGCGAGGTAGAGATGTAGTGGGCCGTGCGGGAATATGGTGGGCGAGGTTGAGATGTGGTGGGCGAGGCGGGGATGCGGTGGGCGAGGCGGGAATGTGGTAGGCCAGGTGGGGATGTGGTGAGCGAGGCGGGGATGTGGTGGGAGATGCGGGGATGTGTTGGGTGAGGTTGAGATGTGGTGGGTGGATGCGGTGGAATGGGCAAGGAGATGACATGTGAGACAGGGAGATGATGGGCGAGAGGAAGAAGAAATGGGTAATGCGGGGATTTGGAGGGCGAGGCGGGGATATGGTGGGCGAGGAGATGGTGATCTGCGCGAGGAGATGAGAAGTGAGGCAGGGGAGACGGGGAGGACGTGGCGGGGAGCGAAGAACGGGAATGGTGTAATAACGAGGTAGGCCCTCGCCAAGAGAAAGATGTCTGAGGAGGGGCGGGGGCAGAGGTGTGGGTTCGGAGACGGAAAAGTGACGAAGGGGTGCGTCGACAGCGGCCGAAGTGAGCAAAAAGCGCGGAGCGGCGGCGGCGAGTGTGATTTATTGGCCCGAGGGGCAGAGACGGAACAAGAAGAAGGCACCGGGCTGTTGTTCGCGTCGCTGCGTCTGCCAAGTCAGAAGTTCCGAGCGGTGCGCTTTTTCTGCAATGAATCTCACAGATTCTCCGCTAGACACGTGTATTTATGGAAGTTCCGGTGCCAACATCCCTTAATGGATATCCAAACGTGTATTGCAACGTATTTGAAAAGCTCATATGAGAAAGAATCACTGCACATAATGTATTAAAGATTTTTGGCATTTGTGTACTAATATAACGCGTTGTGCATGTTCTGTTGAGAACCTTTTTTTCTTAGCCATACATGTGTTACGCAGCTTTAAGAGATGTAGTAGTATGTAGCAACTATACGGAAAACGTTTATTTAAAAACTATCAATGCCAAAAGTTAAAAAGTACTCATAAACAAAAAATATAAGCTCAGGGAAACTGTTTGAAATCAGAACTTTTCTACTTGCTCACAATGTCGTGTTTGATGGTTATTTGTATGTTGAATTTTTAAGTTATGCTATGCACGCTCATAACAAAGATAGAAAATCAGTCAGTTACTTGTCTGATTTAGCAAACAACCAAATCTGTAAATTAATGCACATTTGAAATACAATATAATTTCAGAATCCAATGAGCCATAGTAGATTTGAAGATATCAAGAAAATAGTTTCTATGATTTCTCTTTTCCTGCGCTGTGTGTTGTGTGGACAAACTCGAAGGAAAATGCTTTGCCTGGACAATCGCTTTGTAGTTATCCCTATTTCAGTGACGTCTACTAAATACGGTGCTTTAGACTTCCTACTTAAGGCTGTTACATAGAAACTCTTTAGACTATGTAGTTACTCTATTTATCACCTGGTTACGTCAAATTCTAAAGAAACAGATTATGAAACTTGCCCTTCTACATACGTAGGAAGAACGTGATCACTCTAAAGCTCCTAAGTACATATAGTGATTTGCATTCCATCTTCGATGAATATTTTCCGAGTTCGCAATGCCTCCAGAACCAACGATAAGCGAAGGTCTTTCGAGAAGAGAATCTTTATAGGCACTGAATTCCGGATCTATGGATTCTTTACTACCAACAAATTTATGATGATTACTGTACTTCCAATTCAGGAAGTATTAAACCTTTTATGCCTGCAACATATTTTCCAACATGATTTGAAGTTCAGTGGATCCGTATATCCACAGAACAGAATCCGTATGACAATACGGTAATAGAATTATAACCAAGAGATATTTTCCATTCGTGAACATATTTTGTTAGCCATGTTAGAGAAATCTATTATCATTTGTAGAACTGCTTAAATTGTGCAAATATTTGATATATAGTAGATGTTATCCATCAGATGTAAATAACTTGATGAAAATCAAAAGTCAGGTTACCCACATTTTGAGTAATCTTTGAATATGTAGTAGTCATCAGAACAAACGATCCACGGATCGTGCGCCATCTTTCTTACCTCTTCCTTGTCCTATTCCTCCCCTTGTACACACACTTACAGTAACTATACTACGCATGGTTAATTGGCTGCCCAGGTGACGCCGCGTCCATGGCAAAGGTGCCGACGTTTCGGTTTTTACCCGGACAACCAATTAAATACTGACTCCGGCCGCAGAAGCCTACGCTCTAGCTACACTACCTGACATGACGGTAGGTCAGTGGGGAGCTTAGAGCTATTCGCGGTTGGGACGGTGCCCCGCTGGGGGGAATAGACCTCCCCTGGAAAGTCGACGTGTGGGTCGGCCCTGGATCTGAACTTCCAGTGGGGAACCCTGCCTCTCCAGAGGAAAAAAGCATTCACTCCCCTAACGAGGCTAATGGTGAAAGTAGTTGAAGTGCCCGGAATCATTGAGGTGGTGACGGTGTTGGCAGGAAGGTGATCCGCGCCTACCAGGACAGCTGGAACCACCGCTGCCGCCTGCTGTTCTGCTGCATGGGCAACAGCGACCGCAACCGCAACTCCTTCGCCGACATCGCGCGCCTGCTCTCCGACTTCTTCCGCGACCTCGACGTGGTGCCTTCGGACGTGGTGGCCGGGCTCGTGCTGCTGCGCAAGTTCCAGAAGATCGAGCGCTCCGCCATCGTCAAGGAGGTGAGGAGGCCCCATTTCACCTTGCTTCAATTAACTTCACCTTACTGCACTTTATTTTAATTTACTTCACTTTACACCACTTTACTTCACCTTACACCACTTTACTTCACCTTACACCACTTTACTTCACCTTACACCACTTTACTTCACCTTACACCCCTTTACTTCACCTTACATCACTTTACTTCACCTTACACCACTTTACTTCACCTTATACCACTTTACTTCCCCTTACACCACTTTACTTCACCTTACACCACTTTACTACACTGTACGTGACTGCACTTCACTGTGCTTGACTGTACTTGACTGTACTTCACTGTATTTCACTGTACTTCACTGTACTTCACTGTACTTCTCTTGACTTCACTTCACTTTGCTTCTGTAGTGGCTCGTGACTAATGGCTAGCGCGGTACACCTTCCGCCCTCGGGGTCCACTTTTGTTCCCCAGTCAATCCGTAGGGAGTTTGTATCGTTTTGATGTGGTTCTCCAAATATGAGAATAAAAGACATTGTCTTTGCCAACATTATAGTGTGTTGTGTTTGTAATAGCAACTTTCGTTGGCTAATCCATCATTAATGTGGTTCAAGACACACAAAAACATTCGCTAATGAATTAATAAAGAATTAGTTAAAGAAAGTTTCCATTAATACATACTCTAAATTTAAAATAGAAGGAATGTACATAATACAAAAAGTGAAATTAAAGAGACGCAGTGATAAAGCAAATTTAAGAAGTATGTGTGCACGAATTAAATGAACAATGAAAAGTATATATTTGAGTTGAAATAACAAGACATTGAGAGGTAAGTTGAGTCTGTTTCTTTCCTGATGTTTGTAAGCTAGAAAAACTACTCGTATATGATATACCTATCGGCTAAGTACCGTGGCCAGCACCTTTTCCAGTATATGGATGTCTGTGTGTGGATTGAGAGCGTGTCCTACTTCTCTATGTAAATGATTCACAAAGTAAGATTTACAAATCTTGTGATTCCAAGCACCGCAAATATTCTTTAATTCTCGTGCCGTGCACTCGCGTTGTGACACTCTGAATCATGATTGTTGAAACAGAGAATACAATCGATCTTACCCAATCATCGTCACTACCTGATCCGAGTAAAACCAACTTGCTAAGCACACCATGACAACTGCACTGGTGCAAATACACGTACTAGACTCTTCTCCTTTCTTTGTCGACTTATGGTTCTCCTTTCATAAATTTAGGTGATTTCACATGTCCCAATCGAAAGAAAGAATAGAACTATCACACAATTCTAAAAGTTAATTTTTAAAGGTGACAACTGTTTCCGTCAAACTTCATTTTGTGTCTAAAATTCATTAATCACTCTAAACCAACAATGTCGTTTTGTCTATTGCATGTTTAAGAACCAATTAGTTCCCACTAGGCAAGTCTCTCATCAATCTTGGCTTTTCCTCTCGCTGCGCTTGCTCTCTTGTCGCCCATGTGCGTCCCTTATGTTTGCCCTTTCATTTCCACAGCGCGGCACCCCTCGCGTTGCCAAGTAGCCTCCCCTCCCCTCCCCTACCACGTCCCCGAGGAGTTCAGCCGTGACGATGGTCACACGCAAGCAGCCCCGGGCAAAAAACAACGGAAATAAAAGGAGTTGTGTACACTGCGCGCGCCACTTTACTCCCGCCCTCCAGAGCCCGCGTGCTTCGCCCCCGCAATCGCCCCGCCCTCCCGCCCCTCCCCGGCCCTACGCTAGCCTGCCCCCTCCCCTCCCGGCCCACGTTACGCTGCCGTGGAATACTGCGTCACGGTTCATGGGGAAGTAATTACTTTCAGCCAAACGATAGGCTCTTTTCTCCAGATGCAGTTCATTTAGCTTTCGTAAGATTGCCATTATACCTAGAAGAGCCAACGTTTCATATTACCCGTTTTCAAATATTTGCAGAAATTCGTATAAATTGCCTGTGTAACCCTTCAAGATCAGTGTTGAATTAATTTCTCACCTTCGTAATGGCATAGCAGTATGCAATCAATTCAAGATCTATGTATCTTATTGTTCTCGTCACCCTTTCCAAATATTTGTCTCTCTCCCCCACGCTTGCCTCCCTTCGCGCGCTCTCCCTGCTCCGCCCTCTCGCCGCCTCTCCCGCTCCTCTCCCGCTCGCCTCGCTGAGTGCGCGCTCGCCCTCTCGCCGCTCGCCCCTCCGCTGCCCTACCGCTCGCCTCTCGCCCTCCCGCTCTCGCCGCTCGCCCTCTCACGCTCGCCTCTCACGCTCGCCCTCTCACCGCTCGCCCTCTCACGCCTCCCCTCACGACAGCTCGCCTCCTCACGCTCCGCCCTCCACGGCTCTCGCTCCCCTCTCACGCTCGCCCTCTCACGCTCGCCCTCTACGCTCGCCCTCTCACGCTCGCCCTCTCACGCTCGCCCTCTCACGCTCGCCCTCTCACGCTCGCCCTCTTCGATGGCTCCCTTCACGCTCCCCTCTCACGGCTCGCCCTCTCACGCTCCCCTCTCGACGCTCGCCACTCTCCACGCTTCGCCCTCTCACTCCTCTCCGCTCGCCCTCTCACGCTCGCCCTCTCACGCTCGCCCTCTCACGCTCGCCCTCTCACGCTCGCCCTCTCACGCTCGCCCTCTCACGCTCTGTCTTTCCGCTTCTCTCTCCCGGTTTTCTACCTCCTTCCTCCTCCCTCGCTTCTCCGCCACCTGCTTCGTCTCGAGCAGCTCCACCTCGATCTCGCCCCGCGCTCCGCTTCGCCCTCTGGGGCGGCGGCCTGGAACGTCGGCCCCTGCAGAGAGGTTCGGAGGGGACTCTAAGAGCGACTCGGCGCGGCGGGGAGCGGAAATAAAGTTAGGGGGCCATTTCTTCCGGTCACTGCGCTCACAAGGAGCTCGCAAAGTTATGGCGGCCAACAATAACAAGACTTCTGCACTCGGAATACAACAGGCCGCGAATCTATTTCGTTGGATCTACTCTCCAATGGCAAATCCTCTTATAGCATTTTTTCTTCCATTTCTGTGAATTCAATTTTAATAATGTTTTCTTTCTACAACGCTTGAAAGTAGAAGTTTATTAATTTCAAAGTTTGTTTCTTTTTTTTCTGTTCTTTGGAATCAGCCGCTCACAAGTATCATATAGATAATTTTATGATGTGACATTGAGGTTAAGTATTAATTTTGATTGTGTGTTCAAATAATCTCATTCTAGTTAGTTTTTTAATTTTGATTAGCATGGACTAAAGAACATTTTCTAAAATACATTTTTTTTTACTTTTTCCAAATTCTTCAGTCCCTTTGAAGTAGAATTTTGAAATATGACTCTAAGAATATTATAGAAGACTTAAGCATGGTTTTATATGCAAATCTTCACTGATATATTTGGAGCACTTTAAAAAAAATGTTTAAGCGTTTTGAAAACGAGCAATTTCGAGCCCATGAATGACTATGCCTCCTTTATATCTGTTTTTAACTGTACACATTCAAAAAATGTAAAGGATAAATTTGGAGCATATTTGAGAATATTTTGTCTGTGAGACTGTCTTACTGTCTCAGAGACTGAGAGATGTCTCAAGAGAATTCATGTGAAGTATGTTACGTATTGCAGAATGTTATTTACTACATATAGGTGAACGCAAAATTATATTTTCAATGCAGTATTATATAACTTTCTTTATACTACGGAAATTACTCCGTACATATGCACATAGGCGAAAAATAAAACGTATTTACTTCTTATTCAAATTAACAGTTATTAGCCATTTCTGATTCATGGAGAAATTAATTCCGTGTGCATTTTGAAGCTGAAAAACTTTTGTTTGGACTAGGGTGCTCCGGTGCATCTATTACTCCAGAAGTCTCGTTTTCTCTGAGCGCCCCTGATTGTTCGCCTCCTCTTCTACATAAATCTGACACGCAACAGAGTTCAAAGGGATGTATTGTAAAATCAGGAAAGCAGTAAACGGACAAATGAGGTTACGAAATTGCGTAAACAAATATGATTAATTTATATTTGGAACCCTAAGAAGTAGTCTCATCTTCGCTGTTGAGACGGTGGTGACTGTCCCTTTCATTTTGTATAAGCAATTTTCACCAAAAGGGCTACAATTTTTTGTGCTGTCTCGCCCTTACATTTTAAGAATGAATTTTGAGTTTTAAGGATGAACAATTTTAAGTTTTTCTAAACTTCTCGTAAGCCTGCAATATTGAAGCTACTAATATACTTCTCAGTTAAATGTATTTCTCAGTATTAGATCTTTAAATCATTTCATATGCAGTTTCGGAATCTGGATAGTTTTTATTATTTGTGGTGAACACTTTCCAAAATGTCTCTTCTCGCACCACTAGTTTCGTAAACCATAGCTTTGATGATGGAATTCAATATTCCAAAACGTCGACAAACTTTAATATCCTTTTACTCTTTCGCTATTGGGTAGAGAGAAAGGTATGTAATGCTACGCAAAAACGGCAAATTTTCGGTAGAATAACTATTACAGGCCCCCTGGTAACGAAAGAATGGATAAATTCAGTTGCTAAATTTAGGGGGGAAAATCCTCTAACACGTAATGTAGCCAGAATCTATGTTTTGTGGATCCTTGATATCGAAAAATTGAATGACGGCAAAACATACGTCCGTCCTTCATTTCGTCCGTCTCTCTATCTGGGAACAGCGCTAGCTGCTAAACAGTTTAGTCGATTTTCTTCAAAATGCATATTCCCCATGCAATCTGGCTGATGAGACTGTTCCTTGAATATAAAACCGTTCTTTTAATTGTGGGGCTTCTTTAAGTGATACCCATGTGACATTTTCAAAATTAAAAAAATCCTGCGTCGTTCTTAATTAAATTTTTTGTTGGATATTTTGTAGGACGTTTAAGAAAATCGCGCAGGTCTCATTTTCGTCGAAAAAGCTGATTTTTTGAAAATTGCAAAAATTCAAAACTTTCTCGGCGACTTCCTACAATACAATTATGAAGATGAGATATTTTGCCCTAATGAAATCTGTTTTTTCAAGAGATATTTTTAAATAA